AGAATATTTTATACTGAAACACACTATGCCAAGGTCTAATTTAAAGGGTTGGAAAGTGGAATATTTACGTTTCTGCCTTTGATGCAGTGGATGGAAGAAGTTGGATCTTCCTGCAGATCTTGAAGCATGAAACGAGCAGACTTGGCTCTCTTGAGCTTTGGGTGGAAGAAATCTGTAGTTTCTGGAACACGCAGACTGGAGATTTCTAGAAGTGGTGGTTCGATGTCGGGAACATGCCGACGTCTTTATCCTTGAGCGTAGAAATCTGTATCTTCTGGAACACGCAGAAATTGGAGATTTCTGGAGGTGGTGGTCTGATGTCGGGGACACGCCGACGTCTTTATCCTTGAGCGTAGAAATCGGTATCTTCTGCAACACGCAGAAATTGGAGATTTCTGGAGGTGGTGGTTCGATGCTGGGAACACGCCGATGCCTTTTCTTTGAAGGTAGAGTTCCTGGAAATCTGGGACACGCAGATTTTTGGAGGTGGTGGCCTTGATGCGATGGTTCAGACGCCTTGGAAAAAGCACTGTGAATCCAATTACCAAATCCTTGCTGGAACACGCAGCAAAAGGTCTGATGTCTAGGACAAAACCCCGCAAACCACCCTGAACCACACTTTGACCACTCTTCAACCACCTTTTAGGACACACTCTTTAGGACCCACACTTAACAGATTTTTTACCAGGCAATGTCTTTAATACTTTCTCTGGAAGGCGGTATTGAAGGATGTCACCTTTCAAATCCAGCATTGTGATTGGATGATCCTGTGAGTTGGTCACTGGGAGGTGTCATCCATAATGTGGCCTGCATTTGCATAGTCATAGTCCACTGGTTAACTATGATAATATTTAAGAGTCTTAAATATTTTCCTATGCATAATTCACTTTCCAAACCACATCTAATTTACCCAAGGCATTATTTGGAATAGATAGAGTCTAAACATCGCTATGTAATGTTGATCTTTACCCAAGCATTCATATATAAACCTTAATAAGCAAAGTTTCATACAGTGAAGTATTTCAAGCAGTGCATATTAAATATATACATGATCATTTGAATATACAGGTATATGACGTGAAATTTTCCATTTGTGTCTCTTTTGTGACATGCAAGTTTACTGATCCATGTGTATCTCTGAGTTTGAGACGATGTCAAAAGTTGATTGGATCAAGAAGCAAGTCCTGGACTCTTAACACCTTTGTCTTTCAGATAAACAAAAGACAGATGGTCACGGTCTCAATTGCCACTTTCTGATGAGCTTAAGAAAAGGGTCAGAGTTTAGTGGTAACTCTGCAGCATTTGTTTATATTGGAAATTAATTTCCACAAGTTCCTGGCTTTACCGCTGATCACTACATCCCCCCTCCTTGTTCGAATCGAGGACTGAAGTCGTTGGTCTGGACAATGGAATAAAGTAAAACAGGAACAAAACATACCACTTAACTTTCCCTTTTGACCATTGGCATAGCAGTAATATGACTGAATTTCCAAATAATTTAAGAACTATTTGAAGAGTTTATGTGGAAATGGAAATTTTATGCAAGGGGCTTAACAGTTACATGACAATGAGTTTTAGAAGTGAATACTGAAAAATGTTTGTCTGAAACGAAAGCATCTTTAGCAAGAAACCAAATTTGATAATGACATAATTTGGTGTTGCACTGTCAAGGATGTACACTGAGTGCACCTGCATATTATGCATAGTTCCTTTCTTTGCCCGACTGACCGATTCCTTAAACAAGTTCACTTGGTACCAAATATGACATGATGTCATGTGTTGCCATTTTATCAGGAGCGAAGCTCACTTTGGCATTAAGTAAAATTTGCATTCTTTTACAGACTAACTAATGGGTCAAGTCACATTCTATATGACATTCATTATCTTAATTACCCTGCTAATGGTATGGTAAGGTCTGTTTAAAATGTGAAGGTTCTGCCTGCTTCTGCAGCGGTACTACAGGTTCAATCAAACTATTCTTCTCTTTGGAAGGATGTCCTATAAGGAAAGATTGCAAGGCTGAAACTAGCAACAATTTTTACAACATTGGCTGTGATTTGCAATATTTTACATAAGGTGCCAAGTAACTAGTTTATGAGTGGTCTTGTCTGTTGGTTTGACCATCTAGAGGATTGTCAAAGGCATGAAGAAAAAATATCAGTTTGCATGTACAATTAGAGACTGATTGGAATATTTCAACTGAGACAAAGAATTATGACTCCTTTCCTGAATTAAAGGAATGTGATGACAGGGGCAATTAAAAGTCTGCTGACTTTGAAGGCCCTGTTCGTTTTAAGCTACTCCCCCCCTCCCTCCCTATGGCTGACATTCACTCTCTGAGGTGTGAATTAGGAGGGGAGGAAGGTGACCTGACCTGGTCAAGCAGAGGTAACCTGGTCTCTGTCTGTGGAGCTATGCTCCTCAGAATTAAGGCTTTTGAGGTGCTCTTGAAGCATGTTATGCATTTTTGATAATAAATCATCATCATGCCTACTTTCAAAACCTCTGGACTGCCTAATTCCATTACCCATATTCCAGTTGTTTCCTGGATCATCTCTCTTTCTTTTCTGTCTACTCTCCCTTCTGTCCTTATGCTGCCTTTTCTCTCCAGCAGAGGGCTTTTTGGCATTCTTGTCAAAGGACTTTGATTGGGGGAAGAATTTGTATTTGCTAGGAATCCTGTTTTGGTCAGGTTCTGACACTACATCCAAATGTGCGGGAAACTTTTTGTTCTTTCTGTCCTGTCCAGGTTCAGAAATGTAAGCATATTCTTTGTTCTTTCTATCTGCATTTACCTTCCCACTATCCCAAGCTCGTATTGCAAGTTGCCTCAACTCACTTGCCCAAGTCTTTTCAATGTTGAAAAGTGCGAGCTGTTTTCTAACTGTGGGGTAAAGGTTAGCAACAAACAGGTGCTTGAACAAAGGGTCTTCCTCCGCATCAGGATAATCTTTACCAGCAAAATACATCTCTCTTAAACGCTCATAGTACTCTCTAGGAGACTCATGGCGGCCTTGCTTGATTTTAAAAGCTGACAGACGAGAGGTATAGGGGTTTTCATGTAGAGTAAATTCTGCTGCAAGGGCTTTGCACAATTCATTGAAATCATTGGAAATTGCTGGACTCTGCCTGTCAATAAAACTATGGACAGCTTGTGTTGTTGTTGTCCTCAAAATGAAAAGTTTATCTGACATAGTAATGTCAGGGAGGTATGACAAGGCAAAATGGACATCTTTAAGGTACAGCTCAATGCTGTTTCCTGGTGTTTCAGGATTAAACACTTCAATGTCACATGCCAGTTCCTTAAGTAATGACAAATGATCGCTGGGAGGTGGCATACTTGGAGACTTAGGTTGAGATAGGACAGTATTATGAGAGTTGGATGCAACTTCATAGTTACTAAATGGGTCAGCACTTGGGCTTAGACCACTACGGGCTCTGACATTATCACTACCCTGATAACGCTTTCTGTTTTCAAAGCTACACAACAGGGGTTCCCTACCTGCTGAATCAAAGGAGCGGGGGTGCTCGGTTTGGGATTCAGGGTGCTTGGGGGAAAAATGTCTGGCTCCCTCAAATTCACTAATCTGGTCCACAATCCAATCCATTTCTCTTATCCAATCTTCCTTGTCCATTTCTTGCTTCTCTCTCAGCTCAGAAATGTCACGCAATGCTGATCTTACTTCAGCTTTGGTCCTAGTTTCTCTAGACCTCAGAGAATTTAACTCCTCTGTTTGTGCTGAAAAGTCAGTTTGGGTCTGGACAAGCTCTGTTTGCAGAGCGGCCATGTCAGTTTTCACACCTTCAAGCTGTTCTTCCTGACTCTCAGTTATAGCATGTAGGCTTTTTGTCTCTGAAGACAATCTACATATCTCAGCTTTTAGCTTCAAATTATCCCTACGCAAATCAGCCAGTTCGTTTTTGAGCTCCTCAAACTTCAAATATAAAACTTTGTTCTGATCTTGGGGGAGGGAAATATCCTGATTTGGTTGTACAGGTAAATTTTGTGCTAGGCTAAAAAGAAGCTTAAAAATGGAGCAGCTTTTACAGCTTGACTCATTGCTTCAACTGTTATATCAGCCATATTTATTTAATATATAAACTTGTGTTTTCTATATAAAATAAATGCACCCCCCAACCAAGGTAAACTGTGGAATGTTTAACACATAAGTGCCGGCTAGTCTACAACTAAGACAATGGGTGTCACACACTGAATGGGGCTTGATTAATTTAGCACTTATCACTGAATGGTCAGAGGTGTTAACGTTGCCTGACCGGTTTCACAAAGAAACTCTGAATTTAAATAGACTCAAAAGGTGAACCAAACCTTTGTTATACATGCAAGTAGCAATTCAGTTATAATTCAGAATTACAAGACTACGATTTACTGATTTTGAAATAAGAAAATCTCTGCCATAATAAAGTTGGTTCAGGACTTAATGGCAAATCACAAACTTTTATCACTTAATAAACACCCTATTCATAAATAGTACCAAGTATTTGAGCAGGGACAACAATCAAGTCAGGCTTAAAGGGAACCTGGCAACTGGTTACTGTCTAAATTTGATGACTGAAATAGTTTCCTGCTAAAGTTACCTCAATTGCAGTTTTATTAGTGCATAAACATTGTGTTGATAAAACAGAAGGCTCAATTTCAATCTAAGCCAGGCCTCACACGGGGCACCAAATATGTAGTGATAATTGGATTTATCAAATATTAAAATCAATATTTCGGTATTGATATTAATATTGATATTTTAATCTCCCGTAGGGGACCAAATGATGTAGATATAACAGATAACTAACTCCTTTTAAACGGGGCACCAGACAGCTTTCCACTGTCAAAATAATTAACAATAAAATATTGTTAGTTAAATTATACAAATGAGGAGTTTATTATCTGGCCAAATCTGAAGGATAATGAGATCGTTTGACTTGTAGAGCCTTTTTCTGTATTATCAACACAAGGAAGACACAAATGTAATAAATGTGTATTTATTAACAAAATAGTAATCAAGGGTAACTACAATTACTAAATGTACAATAAATGAAGTGCATAGGCAAGTGATGAAGGTGATTAAGTTAAGGTACGGTAAACCTTATTTTACAATAACAAAGAACTGAGCAAGTTTTTGTTATTAAAGAATATCAGTTTTAAACATCTAATTAATTAGAATATTTTATACTGAAACACACTATGCCAAGGTCTAATTTAAAGGGTTGGAAAGTGGAATATTTACGTTTCTGCCTTTGATGCAGTGGATGGAAGAAGTTGGATCTTCCTGCAGATCTTGAAGCATGAAACGAGCAGACTTGGCTCTCTTGAGCTTTGGGTGGAAGAAATCTGTAGTTTCTGGAACACGCAGACTGGAGATTTCTAGAAGTGGTGGTTCGATGTCGGGAACATGCCGACGTCTTTATCCTTGAGCGTAGAAATCTGTATCTTCTGGAACACGCAGAAATTGGAGATTTCTGGAGGTGGTGGTCTGATGTCGGGGACACGCCGACGTCTTTATCCTTGAGCGTAGAAATCGGTATCTTCTGCAACACGCAGAAATTGGAGATTTCTGGAGGTGGTGGTTCGATGCTGGGAACACGCCGATGCCTTTTCTTTGAAGGTAGAGTTCCTGGAAATCTGGGACACGCAGATTTTTGGAGGTGGTGGCCTTGATGCGATGGTTCAGACGCCTTGGAAAAAGCACTGTGAATCCAATTACCAAATCCTTGCTGGAACACGCAGCAAAAGGTCTGATGTCTAGGACAAAACCCCGCAAACCACCCTGAACCACACTTTGACCACTCTTCAACCACCTTTTAGGACACACTCTTTAGGACCCACACTTAACAGATTTTTTACCAGGCAATGTCTTTAATACTTTCTCTGGAAGGCGGTATTGAAGGATGTCACCTTTCAAATCCAGCATTGTGATTGGATGATCCTGTGAGTTGGTCACTGGGAGGTGTCATCCATAATGTGGCCTGCATTTGCATAGTCATAGTCCACTGGTTAACTATGATAATATTTAAGAGTCTTAAATATTTTCCTATGCATAATTCACTTTCCAAACCACATCTAATTTACCCAAGGCATTATTTGGAATAGATAGAGTCTAAACATCGCTATGTAATGTTGATCTTTACCCAAGCATTCATATATAAACCTTAATAAGCAAAGTTTCATACAGTGAAGTATTTCAAGCAGTGCATATTAAATATATACATGATCATTTGAATATACAGGTATATGACGTGAAATTTTCCATTTGTGTCTCTTTTGTGACATGCAAGTTTACTGATCCATGTGTATCTCTGAGTTTGAGACGATGTCAAAAGTTGATTGGATCAAGAAGCAAGTCCTGGACTCTTAACACCTTTGTCTTTCAGATAAACAAAAGACAGATGGTCACGGTCTCAATTGCCACTTTCTGATGAGCTTAAGAAAAGGGTCAGAGTTTAGTGGTAACTCTGCAGCATTTGTTTATATTGGAAATTAATTTCCACAAGTTGCTGGCTTTACCGCTGATCACTACAGTATTTACGACTCACATAGAGATCTTCTATAAGCTCCTTGCTCAGGACTGATGCTTTTAATGTAAACTTTTATTCTCTTTATAATCAGGTAACTTGCAACAAGTCTCTGGCTCATGTAATAAAATTATGGTTTTAATACTTCTGCAATCAATTTTTAACTCTACCGCAGCTAAACAATATCATCATGGTTGATGTCTCTGCAAAGCTAATTTTGGTGTACTGAATGATTGTTTACATTTTATGTTAGTACATGTGCAACCTATTAACATTCTGAGAAGCTTTGAACATTTCTGCATCAGTTTACACCAAGAATGCCTATGCAGATCACCCCGCTTTGGAACAGACTATAAAACGTGCCTGGGGGGAGTTAACTTCTCATTGGTCAACTCGGCTCCAGAGAGTGGGTACAAAACCATCCTTAGAAAAGCCTGTGACCTAAAAGCTGATTTATAATTCTGCGTCAAGTGCACGCGTATGCTATGGCGCAGCCTACGTGTTGACGCATAGCCCTACGCCGCGGCCGTCAGCGTCGCTGACGCACATCTCTCAAAAATGTATCTACACATTGCAACGACGCTTAGCGCAAGCTCTATGATTAGTCGGCTTGGTAGCGCTGACGAGTCGGGGCAGGACCGAGCCGCGCAAACCAGATGGAGCGATTGTTTACAAGTGTGGAGTCCCGGGAAGGAGCTCTGGATGGCAAGTTTTGTTTTGTTCTGTAGTTATTTTGGTGAATGTAACTTAAAAGTAATATAAGAGTCATGTAACATATTACTATTACATATTACTAGAGACAGTAATATTGTAAGGTAAGGGATTACTTTTAAATAACAGTAACAAGTAATCTGTAATGTATTACAGTTTGGAAGTAATTTGCTCAACAATGACAAAGCCCCTTGTCTGGTCATGAGATGATGTGAAGACCATTTTACCTAGAGTGGAGCATCTGGCAAAGATCTTATCAACGTCGATACACAGGTCCTAAAACTATTGAACAACACCTATTCTTGCCATAGGAAATTATTAATAAACATTTTTAATCCACTTTGATCCAAATGCTGAACACTGTACTGCAGTGTTTCTCAACAACGTTCCTGGAGGACCACCAACACTGCATGTTTTGTATGTCTCCTTTGTCTGTCACACCCATTACAGGTCTTTCAGTCTCTGCTAATGAACTGATGATCTGAATCAGTTACAGTATATTAATGTGTTTGGTTAAGGAGAAAAAGTGCAGAGCTGGTGGTCCTCCAGGAACGTGGTCGAGAAACACTGCTGTACAGCATCCTATTAACATGCTTGCTGAAAAGTTATGAAATGTATTAATATTAAACTAATTGATATTAATATCCAGCCTGTCTTTTATGTTTTTTGCCTGTCATTCATTATGGTTCTCCTTTTTATGATTATTGAAAACAGAATATTTAGCCAATTCAATTTCAGCTAAGTGTCAAAATAAGTTTAGTGATGAAATGGCAAAGATCACAAAGGCCCAACCAAGCGTCTCTTTCACCCATAACAGGGCAGAATGTGCATGACAGGACCTTCTAGCTGGAGCTCAGGGATTTTGCTGCCATCTGGCTGAGGAAAGCTTCAATTCGACATCGCCTCACCAGGGAATGACACGAATAACAGTAGAACATCAGAGCAAATGCAGTCATATTCACCATTCTGCATTCCTGCACAGAAGTTCACTCTCACAGCAATCTTCCTTTCTCATCCTATGATCACAATTGATCATTTTTGTGCTCTGCATCTTTTCTTCTTCACACTGTACACTCACTGTGTGTGAATGTCTGAAATTGCCATCAATATCAGTGCAGACAGTTTAGAAAAGTGTGGAGAAATGTTTCTGTTTTTCTATCTGAAATGTTTTTTTTTTTTTTTTCTGTGTGACACAAACTAGCATGGACATGTTCGCTCCAACTGGAAGATTGGGTTCTTTCTATCTCAAATGACCCATGTGATGTGAAAGCTTTGTTTGATCTGTTCAGTCCAGCATGTTTAGTATTTAACTTCTGCTCAGCATGTTTTCTTTGAGTACACTTACAGAAACTTTTAATGAGCAAGAGAACATTTGTGTTGAACAGGTGATACTCAGCATAATGAAAGCGACAACAGCCCACTCACATATTTAACTTTATATGCAGATTTTTCTCTTTTCTTTTTCGATCTGCTGTATTAAAGGATGGATTTACTCATATGTTGGATTTCAAATAGCCAGATGATGAAAACTGGCAGCTCATAGGCTTGACTGGTTTGAGCACCTGTATGCAATTAAGGAGGGAAAAATGCATTTTACAGCCTAACAGCATGTCTGAACTGAATGTGAGTGCTGCATTTTTATTTATTTCATTTTATTTTAATTATTTGTCTGTATTCAATCAATTTGTATGTATTCAAACAATTATATTATATACATATACAGTTGGTCGACGTAGTGGCGCAGTGTGTCGCTGGTTCGAGCCTCGGCTCAGTCTATGTTTGTGTGTGGAATCTGCATGTTCTCCCTGCGTTCGCGTGGGTTTTCTCCAGGTGCTCCGGTTTCCCCCACAGCCCAGACATGCGGTACAGGTGAATTGAGTAGGCTAAATTGTCCTTAGTGTATGAGTTTGTGTGTGAATGAGTGTGTTTGAGTGTGTTACCCAGAGATGGGTTCCGGCTGGAAGGGCATCCGCTGTGTAAAAACGTGCTGGAAAAGTTGCTGGTTCATTCTGCTGTGGCGACCCCAGATTAATAAAGGGACTAAGCCGACAAAAAAATGAATGAATGAATATATACAGTTGAAGTCAGAATTATTAACCCCACTCTATTTTTTTTTCTTTTTAAAATATTTCCCAAATTATGTTATACAAAGCAAGGAAATTTTCACAGTATGTCTGATAATATTTTTTTTTATGGAGAAAGTATATTTGTTTTATTTCTGTCAGAATAAACGCAGGTTTAAATTTTTTAAACATCATTTTAAGGACAATTTTTTTTAGCCCCTTTAAGCTATATTTTTTCTGATAGACTACAGAACAAATCATCGTTATACAATAACTTGCCAAATTACCCTAACCTGCCTATAACCCAATTAACCTAGTTAAGCCTTTAAAAGTCACTTTAAACTATATAGAAGTGTCTTGAAAAATATCTAGTAAAATATTATTAATTGTCATCATGGCAAAGATAATACAAATCAGTTATTAGAAATAAGTTATGAAAACTATTCTCTCTGTAAAAGATAAATTGAGGAAAAAATAAACAGGGAGATTAATAATTCAGGGGGGCTAATAATTCTGACTTCAACTGTATATATATATATACACACACACATATATATACACACACATAAAAGGCCACTTTACTAAGTACACCTTATTAATAAGGGGTTTGACCACTTTTGCCTGCAGAACTGTCTCAACCCTTCCTGGCATAGATTGAAGATGGTACTGGAAATGTCATTTAGAAATTTTGGTCCATATTGATATGATAGCATCCCACATATTTGTCGGCTGCACATCCATGATGTTCCCTTTCAACCACATTGCAAGGATGCACTATTGAATTGAACACTGTTGACTGTGGAGGCCATTTGAGAACAGTGAACTCATTGCCATTTTCAAGAAACCAGTCTAAAATAATTCACATTTTATGACATTATTATATTATCCTGCTGGAAGTAGCCGTCAGAAGATGGATACACTGTGGTCATAAAGGGATGGATATGGTCAGCAACAAGGCTGTGGCATTAACAATTGCTCAATCCGTACTAATGGGTCCAAAGTGTGCCAAGAAAATATCCCCCACACCATTAAACCACCACCACCTGCCTGAACCGTTGATACAAGGCAGGATAGATCCATGCTTTCATGTTGTTTATGTCAAATTCTGACCCTACCATCCAAATTTTGCAGCAAAAATCGAGACTCATCAGACCAGGCAAGGCATTTGCAACCACAGAACTGCCGCTCACTGGATATTTTCTCTTTTTCAGACTATTTTCTGTTAACCCTAGAGATATTTGTGGGTGAAAATCCAAGTAGATCAGCAGTTTCTGAAAAATCCAACAACCATGACACTTTTAAAGTCCCTTAAATCACCCTTTTCTCCCTATTCTGATGCTCGGTTTGAACTGCAGCAGATCGGCTCGACCATGTCTACTCGCCTAAATGCATTGAGTTGCTGCCATGTGATTGGTTTATTTGAAATTTGCGTTAACGAGCAGTTGTACAGGTGTACCTAATAAAGTGGCCGGTGAGTGTATATTCGAGTATATATCGGACAAAGTATAGGTCTTAAGCATTTGTCAGTGATCACTTAACATACAATTTGACACACTTATATTATAATTATAATTACTATTTATCCAATTGCACTTTTTTTTATTTAATTAGATACAGAAGCACAAACACAAATGCAGTAAAGCAGTACTATTTTGAGTCACATGTTATTTAATGTAAAATTGAGAGTATTAACAAACCATTAACTTTCAGCTCAATAGACCACTAATTAGCTGCTTAATCGTCATTAGTAAGGTGCTAGTTTGTTTTAGCTTTTGGGTAGGGTTAGAAAAAAATAAGATAATACTTTATAAGTGCTAATAAACAGTTAATATCTTATTAATAGGCCAGTAATAAAATAGTTCCCAAATGGTATTAAATGTCACTTAAACTAAAGTGTTACCCTATTGTGAAATATAATTACAGGTAAAAATATGTGTTTTCTGTTTTAGTGTAATTTTTCTATGTTTTGGCAAATTAACAATCAATCATAATTGATATTAATTTGCTGATTTAATGTTACAAAAGAATTCTGATTATCATC